CTGGGGCTCCGGTCGTATTATCCACTCTTGAAGTGGATAAGATTTACGAGGAGGTAAATAATTTTAATATATTAATTTTTATTATTTATTTAATTTTATTGCTTCGGTTATTAATATTTTAATTTACAGGTCGTTCCGAGGAAAAAGGGCCGTGTTATCGGGATTGGCTCGGTTAACGATGTCCCCGCAGTGACATCGGATTATGTTCACCAACAAGCCGATGACAATGCTCAGATGCGGACGGAGTTGCAGGAAACACGGGCTCATGTGCGTACGCTCACGGATATCCTCGACATTGTGGCGGTTGGAAACCCGCAAGTGACGGAAGTGTTGCGTCAGAGACGGGAAAGCGGAGCCCTTCCATCCCAACAGCCTCCACCATCTCAGTCACAGCCGGCATCCAACATTGGAGACGACTTCATGAACCAATTTCAAGACCAGCATCCTTTTTAGTTTTTTTTTAGTTTTTAATTGTATATTATGAATTTTAAAACTTATTAATTGTATATTATTTAGTTATTTATAAATATTTTGTTATTTATTTTTTTAACTTTTTTTAATATATATAAGTTTAATTTATAAATATTTTTTTTAAATAGGAAAAAACTATTTCGAAGTTAAATCCTCGTAAAAGTTTCTAAGTAAATTCTTCGTAATTTTTCCTAGCAACTTCCTCGTGAAGGGTCTACTACGAGTTTACGAGGAAATAGTTTACTATGCCCTTACGAGGAAAGTATACGTGGAGCTTATGAGGAAATCGTTTCCACGGCTTTACGAGGAAATCTTTCCTCGTAAAGTAGCTAGGCCTTTACGAGGAAAATAGACTTTACGATGAACGTCTTTCGACGAAACACGTTTCCTCATTATTTCCTAGTAAAGGGCCATTTACTAGGAAATAACGAGGAAAACCCGTCCTAATAAAAGACGTGTTTTCTTGTAGTGTGATCTAAATAATAATAAGAAAATTCAATATGAAAATACAATAATCTTATAATTTTACCATGCAAATAATAAAATCAAATCAAATATTAAGAATCCTAACACTTTTGTATTTTCATAATAAATGTTATTAATATTAATTATATTATACATTACACATGTATCAATATTTATATAGATATTGTGTTAACAGACATGTATTGATAAATATATAATATTTTAAAATAAGATACTATAGATTCAACCATATACTGGTTTTATAATAAATTGCTTTTAATATATATACACACACATATATATATATATATATATATATATATATATATATATATACTGTAGTGATAATTTTTTAATGAATGATTTTTAATTTGGACCATTCTGTAAAATTTTATCAAATTTTACACGAATTACTTATAATATTTATAATATTTTCTATTTCATTTTAGTAAAATAAATATTTTTAAAGACAATTCTAACAAAATATTTTAAAAATAATTTCAGAATAAATTTGAAATTTATTTTAAAATGTACTTAATTTTAATTTTATTTTTGGGGGATTTGCCAAAACCAACCTAAAATTTCATTTCAACCCTAAAGGTGTACCCCTTATTGAGTCAAATGCAAAACCAACCTAAAGGGGTTATGAAGTTACTACTTAACCCTTGTGACCAAACAAAAAAACAGACAGTTATTTTACCGTTCTGTCCTTTGCAAGTCTACACATAATAGAGAGAAGTCTACACATTTGTAGACCTTCTTAGAAGTCTACTTTGTAGACCTATTATACAGTCAACATCGTCATTTGATCTTATAATTTAATTTTAAAAATGTATAAAAATAATTTTTGGGAAGTTTTTAAATAAATCATCAATATAAAGATTAGTATGAAATATATAAATTAAAATTTCATATAAGTGAAAAGTTTAATAGAATTTATATTGAATTGGTAACCATGTGAAAGATAATGTGTTATGGTTTCCCAACAAAATGGNTAAAGCAAAAAAAAAAAAAAACGGAGTTGTAGACTTACCCGTAAGTCTACACACTTATACCAAATTAACCTAACCGGATTTAACCAACTTAGAGTATAGTAGACTTACAATTAAGTCTACTTATATGTAGACGTCTATTTCAGTCTACGTTAATTTGTGTTTACCAAAATAAATTATTTTAAAATTAAAATTAACTAAGAGGGAAGTGAAAATGAATTTTGGAGCCTATTTTTCCATATTGGCGCCATTATTTAGGGTATAGTAGACTTACAGTAAAGTCTACGTATATGTAGACGTCTATTTCAGTCTACATTAATTGGTGTTTATCAAAATAAAATTAAAAATTATTTTAAAATTAAATTTATTTATTTATGAATTAAAATGTGAATTACAATTTTATCAAAAAAATATATACTAAGTCTATTAATTATATAATGAAAAAAAATTTGATTATATATTATAAACTATTTAAACAATAAAGAAAAATATTATAGTAGACTTCTTTGGAAGTCTACCTAACCTAAAGTTTGACCAAAATAATTCTAACCAAACCAAAATTAAACCAAAGAGTTTTAACCTAACCAGAAAAAGAACTTGACATATAAATACTCCTTCTTATTAAAAAAGGGCTGACATAAAAAAACAAGCTGCCTCTCTCTCTCTCTCTCTCTCTCTCTCTCTCTCTCTCTCTCTCTCTCTCTCTCTCTCTCTCATCCTTCTTCTCCTACGATGTTCCCCGGCGAAAGCTTCAGATCTTCAGTAATTTTTCAATTCTCGAGCTCTCTCTCTTCTCTGCAGACCCGAGTCACCTAACAATCTGTTTCTGTGTCTAGGGTTTTGATCGAGAAGCTCTGCGAAATCGACGGCAGCAAGGACAGGATCCGATTAGACGGCCTTTCTCCACCGGCGGCGATGAAGGAGAAACTTAACTGATTATTATGATCATTTGAGAACTAGTTGTTTTTTATACTCGTGTGAGAAACTTAACTGATTATTATCAACAAGAAAGCCTTCCCACTGAAGAAGATGAGATACCTACCAATTCTGAGGTAACATCTCTTCTTAGATGTTTCTTACTAATTTTGTTTTAGGCGTGCGTCTAGACCTTTTTCTCGTTAAGAGTTCTGCTAACAAACTTGGCTGATAAAATTTCAGGAAGCTTCCGTACTCTTCATGGCCAATCTGTCTCCACAAACAACTAAAATATCACATATGTATGTATCACTTTAATTACAATTTACATCTCCACTTTTTTTTCTCTGTGCTGTTTTTTTCTATGACTGATGATTACTTTTTTTTTGCAGCATCAAGTTCTTCAAATATATTGGTGGTGTTGTTAGTGTGCGACTTATTCTAAACCGCCAGGGTAAGCATTTGGGTTATGCCTTTGTTGAGTTTGTTTCTCCTGAACGAGCTAATTTGGTAAGTACTTTTTTCTTTCTTATGTACTAATTATGAAATAAGTATCAAATCAATTCTTTTTTAAGTTTTCAAGTGTCTTTTGTTCTTTAGGCGCTGAAAAATAAGAATGGTGAATACTTGCACGATCATGAGATTTTGTTGATGAAAAGACTTGAGGACACTCCCCATTTTGCTGAGGTATTTCTTCTTATTATCATCATGATATCTCAACTGTTGCCACAATGTTGAAAGATGTTTTTGATATTCCAGGTTTGAAGACTATCTTCAGCGAGAAAGTCTTGTGCTACAAGAAAATGCATCAGTGGAAGGACTTGATGAAACTCCAGACTATGTTGAGGTACCTTCTTATTATCTTCAAGAATTTGTCTTTTTATTATAAATTGAAGTTCTTTTTTCCTCTTACAGTATTACTACTAACACACTTGGCTGTTAAAATTCAGGAAGTTTCATCGAGTAAGAAGACTATCTTTGCCGATTTCTCCCAGAAAAAAACGTGCTTGTTAACATACCAAATATGTAAGTAGTTCCTTTAATTCACCTCTTTTTCTTCTTGAGAGCATTTTTTATCATTTTATATATCTCTCCATATTTTTACAGCATCAGTTTCTTCAAAGATGTTGGAGAAATTGCTAGTGTAAGACTTATTGTAGACCGCTGGGGCATATCTGCGGGTTGTTGCTGTGTTGAGTTTGCTACTGTTACCGAAGCAAAGAAGGTGAGACTTCTCATTTATAGTAATGATGAAAATAATTTTAATTACATAATGATAGTTTTTCTGAAAGTTAGGACTGCTGATTAAATCTCTTGTACTATAGGTTATGCGAATTTACAAGCATGTTAAAGGGATTTATGTCAAGATGCCTGAGATAGCTTCATACCCTTTCCGACCCAAGTAAGTTGATTTTCTCTAAAACTTAATGCTATATTTTTATGTCAATAACAAGAAGATGAATGCTTATTTTTTTGTCAACTTAACGTTGGTTCATTTCCAAGTACGTTGGTTCAAAATCTACATAAGATAAATGTAAAAGAGTGAAGGGTTGGGTTTCTTTGTAGTTGGTTTTATAATATGTTTTACCTTTAATCATGTTGTACTTTTGTTTTTCTTCTGTTAAGTTTCTATCTTTTTGATATGTTAACTTTGAAAAGTGCAGGCTGATAATTGTCCTTTGAGGAAGCTACAAATAGCGAAGCTTTTAAGTGGACATTGCATGGGAGCCCAATGTTTTGAGTGGAACATTGGAAGTGCAATTACANACCTTTAATCATGTTGTACTTTTGTTTTTCTTCTGTTAAGTTTCTATCTTTTTGATATGTTAACTTTGAAAAGTGCAGGCTGATAATTGTCCTTTGAGGAAGCTACAAATAGCGAAGCTTTTAAGTGGACATTGCATGGGAGCCCAATGTTTTGAGTGGAACATTGGAAGTGCAATTACAGACTTACTTGTGTAGACTTGTGTAATCATTTTTTTTAAGAACTCTAAAATAAGAGACTACTATTGTAGCCATAAAAAAGTGATGTTACTTATTAGTCTTCTTTCGTGTAGATTTACTTGTATAGACTTGTGTAATCAGTTTTTTTAAGAAACCTAAAATAAAAGACTACTATTGGAGCCATAAAAAGTGATGTTACTTATTAGTCTTCTTTCGTGTAGACTTATTACTTACAAAGAAAAATATAACATAAGTCTATCACAAGTTCAACACAGACTAAAGACCTACAAATCCAATAGAAGACAACTCAAAGCAATGAAACACTAATACACAACTCATAAGTTCGACACATAACACTAACACATCTAAAGTTTTTCATCACCCATTCTCTGTATACAATGAGTAATTGAGCCATCTCCTACAAAAAAAAATATGGTTTACATAATTAGCAAACAAAAATTTCATGTTTGATAAAATTATAAAATAGATTTACAAGTACATCTACAATTATTAGCAAACAATATAGTTAAACCAAAAATTATATCATAGACTTACAAGTACGTCTACAAATATTAAGCTAACAACATAGACAAACAAAAAATTTGATAACTTCCTAATTATAACAGATTATCTTCTGAAAATCATTCAAGACCCTTCTGATTAACTAACACACACTTTCATACAAAAAAGTTTTGAAAAAACTTAATGAATAATACACAAAACCACTTTTGATAGATTTTTCTAGGTAGACTACATATTCAGTCTACAAACGTGTAGACGTTTTATTCAGTTTACAGGTTGTAGACTGAACATTAGGTCTACGTCTAGGTTGGTTTCTGCAATTGCCAAATTCACGGGTTACATTCTGTATTTGAAAAAAAATGTGATTTTATACGAGTAGACTTACTTTTCAGTCTACATTTTTTAAAAGGTTGGTTTTGCAATTGACCAGAATTCGATCAGAGTTTGACTTTTAGAAGTAGACCTATTATGCAGGCTACACTTTTAAATTTATTTGAAAGAGGTTAGTTTTGCAATTGACCAAAGTTGACTTTCTACGAGTAGACAGAACTAAATGTCTACGTAACTGTAGACTGCAGTAAAAGTCTAC